ACACAATTTTGGTTTTTTTTTTTTATTCAATAATTTGTTTATTCAAGAATTAAATATTTCATACATTTAACGTGATAATGTTTTCTGTAATAGTATATTTTGTTCAATTGATTTATTTTAATCTGATATTTTTCATGCCATATTTCCTACCCAACGATACGGTCATTGAATGGAACTGATTAAAAGCCATTGTTTAAAGTTGACTAATTTTGACGGTCTATATTTAAATATATAACAGTCTGTAAGCATTGATCTTATTTTTTATAAGTTATATTACTCATAGAATATATGAGTATTGTAATAGAATATTTACTCATTGCAATATAGGTAGCATTGTTTTAATTAGAGATTAATCAACTATCTATGATTAATTTCACCGTTTAATAAATAATTTCATATCAAAAAATATTTTGTCAATGTTGATTAATTCTACTTTGATTTTCTTTCCGTTAAAAATATTAATATCTACGTATTAATACAGATATGTAGATGTGTTGTAGTTACACTATTACATACAAATTCAAACGTTTCCTTTAAGTTTATTAAATTAGTCATATTCTATTAAGTTTTCCCACGTATAGATATTTATGTCACATTTATGATAATAAATACTTAATGCGGGACTTCAATTCGTACGTCAATAGAAACGCTGACCATACATTTACCATCATCATCCGACACTATCGCATTATTTTAAATGTATAAAGTATTGAACCAATTATGTACGTATGAATTACTTTAAGCATCGTTCACTAATTACATAATACATTTACCAACAATCCAAATTAACCCTTTTTTATGCTTAACATACACTTGTAATTAATATGTTTATTTTCATGTAAAAAAAAAAAAAAAAGTTCTCTTCTTTAATGGTAACATTTACTTAATACTCCAATATGTATTATTGACTCAATTTAATTAAAATATCATTTTAACGTCTCAGTATTTATGCACTTGTAACTAGATTCGGATATTACATCAATTATAAATCGTTAAAACTATGTATTTCGTATAAAATACTAGGAATGTCACGAAAATATAGTAAAATATAGTGAAAATAAAAAGTATCATAATCCCATAATTCTATGCGCCTCAATATTATTCCTAATGTAATATAATCACAAAAAAATTAAAATATTCAAGTTTCATGTGAGTTTGTCTCGATGATAAATAAACGAGAAAAACTGTTATATTAGTTCAAGACGTCAAACGAATTGGTTGACTCGTATTGTGTGCGGAGTAAAATCGTTTTTTACACTTTTAATTAATTGTTTTAACAAATAAAAAAAAAAAAAATAGTTAAGATAGAATTGTATTTTGTCAACACGATTTAATGGTCGATGATGGTACCATGTCGGATTTTCATTATAAACGAGAATAATTCGTAAAGGGTCTTGTTATTGTTACAAGCATAAGTTGATAGAATGTTTCCAATGATTGTATTATAATAACAATCTATCATATGAAATAAACGGAGTTGACGTAAAAAATCAATAGCATAAATTTACCAATGACTATGTCCGTAAACAAGTATATGCATAGCGATTTATTATAGTAGCATATAGGTTACCTATGGTAAGTAGGTGTATTATTTGACTATGGATATTACAAAAATAACTAAATTATATTTAGACAGGTATATATATATTGATCTAAGGAAATTCTTGATCAGAAGGGTATAATTTTCAATTAATGCTAATATATTTCCAACGCAGAAAAAATCAACACTCGTGCATTCAAAAGTAATTTTTGAAATATAATTTCAATAATTTAATAAATTATTCAAAAAAATATTGAAGCTATATTTTGTACGCATGACATTGAAGCTTCATACCCTTGGATGTTGGAATTTTTGCCTTAAAACGTACCAATGAAGCACAAACCGAATTGGTCCAAAGTTACGAAATGTAGAGGTAGAGATGTCAGAGACGTGAAGTTAAACTCTATGAGCTATTGTGACAGTTATAAATCGTAAAATTTTGTACTTATGATATATCTCCACTGGAAATCTGTTCAGAAAATAAGGTGACTTATGGACGAAGTAGTTGGCCACAGCAGATCCCTAAAAGAATATCACTAAATAGCCTGGTAAAAAATTTGTCCATCTTTAATCATAAATATGCATTTGTTATATTTTTTGGTACGGGGAAATCAATTTAGTCACACTAGCAACATTAGCTATCCATGGAGATGGATTATTGCATAAATATAATATAACAAACTAATATTTATTTATTTATTTTTTTGTAGCTACTACATACAACAAACATTTTTTTTTTAATACCTCGTTTTATTGATATAACTATTTTTTTTAAACTATAGTGTAAGTCCCAGTGGCCAAGACACAAATACCCCATCGATAAACAAACCTTCAACCAACTAAACAACAAACTAAGAAAACACAAGCACAACACAGCTCTAGCACTTATCAAAAATACATACAAAACTTAACAACTCAACACTCATCTCTCTAGAAAGCGACGAAAAAAATTTTGAAAACCGTCTCAACTCCCTCTCCTCTTCGTAAAGAAGATAACACATGGGTGGTTTCTGATACCAACAAAGCAAACCTATTCGGCCATCATTTATCGAAAACCTTCACACCACACCACACGACATAAATTTAAACCTCACCCAAAACCAAATAGTCACACATTCATTGGACTTTGCATTACTCATGTCTTTCCCAGCTAAACACACTAGTCTCGGTGAAATTAAGTTTATTATCAAAAATTTTCACAACAAAAAAGCTCTAGGGTACGACCGGATCATAAATCTCACCGCCAAAAATCTACCAAAAAAAGCGATTATATCACTTTCGTACATCTACAACGCAATATTGCGTTTATCATATTACCCCCTAACTTAGAAATTTTCCGAAATTATACTAATTCCTAAACCCAAGAAGCCGCCAGAAAAAGTTACTTCATATCGACCCATAAGCTTACTACCAACTCTATCAAAAATGTTGGAGAAAATCTTACTAAAAAGGCTTATTCATCTGGTTATCACAGCAAACATGATCCCAGATACACAATACGGTTTCAGGCCGAACCACTCAATGATCCATCAACTCCACAGAGTAGTCGACACTAAATCTTCGTCACTGAAAAAAAAAAAAACATTACTGTGCTGCCATCTTCCTAGACATAGCACAAGCATTCGATTGAATCTGGTTTGAAGGTTTACTGTTCAAACTAAAAAAATTTCTGCCTGCGTCTTATTACTTACTTATAAAATCGTACCTTAGTGACCGTACTTTCATCGTACGACAGAACTCATGCTACTCAAACTACTTTGACATTCTTGCCGAAGTTCCCCAAGGTAGCGATATTGCCCCTTTTCTATATATAATATTCATTCACAACATTCCTAAAACCTCCTATACCTAACTTGGTTCTTATGCGGACGATACGGCAATTATAGCAACCAATGAAAACCTACAAAACCAATAAAACCAATAAAAACCAAAAATAACCCCATTATAACCTCAAATATGATACAAAGATACTTTAATATTATACACCTTTGAATAAAGAGGTGGAAAATTAAAATCAATGAATCAAAGTCCTTCTTTATAACATTTACCTTAAATAAAAAAACATGTCCTCAAATTTTAATGATCAAAATTCCAATCCCCATTTGCATACAAGTAAAATACCTCGGTCTTACCCTTGACAGTAAATTAACCTGGAATCCTCACATAGTTGATAAACGAAAAGCCCTTAATTCCCGTCTACACCTCTTAAGACCATTATTAAGATCTAAAATTAACATTGACACCAAATTATTAATTTACAAGTCTCTACTTAGGCCACTATGGACATACGGCATCCAATTATGGGGAGCCGCAAAACTCTCCAACACCAGATCAATACAAGTCTTCCAGTCCATCTATCTCCGTTTAGTTTCTTCTGCTCCTTGGTACGTAACAAACTCCAACCTCCACAAAGACTTAAAAATACAAACTCTAAATAAAATCTCTAAAACATACTACGTCAGATTTCATAATAAAATTCAATCACACACTAATCAACTAATCAAAAAATTATCATCTAAAAAACTACCCGACAAACCTCGACGAAGACTAAAAAGAAAATGGTGTAGGGATCTTTTACATTAATAATCATTTATCAATAACTAACGCACGTGCTGGGTGTTATCAATGGATAACTTCCCAATATATTTATATATATTCGCCGTCAATTTCATATTCTCTTCGTTTTTTTTTTTATCAAATCTAATTATTGTACAATAAATTGTATAGATTGTAGATGTATTAAAAAAAAAAAAAAAAAACTATAGTGTGCTATTTCCAACGTTATTATTAACATTTAATAGTGCTACTCTCTCGCTATATAGTATTTTTGTTTTTAACTTTCATTACATTTTAAAGCCTACACACGTAACAAATATTGTTTTATATTTAGTTCATTCACCACAAATTATCATTAATTTGATTATTGTAGATCAATACGGACCAATTTTTAGAAATATTTAAATACAATTCTACAACATGCAAAAAAACTAATGACAGTATGGACTATAGTCAAGGTCATCATGGCCGTGATAGACTTGCTATAGTACTTTGAATTGTGAAACGTGCATACTAAAAATATAATTTTAAACAATTTTGAGAATTACAATTTTGAAGTATATTTTATCAGTAATAACAGATTATAATCTAGATTCGACTGTCGTATCGACCTAAGAGGATTTTGTCACACAAGTGGTCGACTATTGGCACACCCTAGTATTTCGCTACATTAATCGTTATAATTAGAATACAGTATTAAACGTATAAACGTAGCAATGCTACAATTATACTCCTCATCGCTGCTATAAACTATACGGTAGAATATGTTGGAGTGATTAGACTTAGTTATTTAAATCATCGAGAATAGCATGTGACGTACGTTAATCAATTGAAGTGGTTTTTTAATTTCTTACTTAAGATGTGAGCTCAATAATCAGTAAAAAAATTGTTCGTATGTACTTACCGGCATGTTGTTTAAAAAGAACGTTAAACCTGCCGCGGGTCTAGACGCTGGTGACGTACAATTCGCTACAAGCGTATCACCAGGATCGTATTTGTCTTTGTCCGTGACGATGACTGGTTTGGATTTTGGTAATTCTGGAAAAAAAAATAGTGTGTATTAGTCATTACGCTCTGTGAAAGTAAAACTTATTATTACTATTATTATTCTGTGGGAAAATATTAAATTATTTATTATATATTAATATGATATATAATACATATATATTGTTTGCGTGACTAATGCCTATTTACTATATATATATATATATATATATATATATATAGTACGAATACCGGTGAAACCTAGGATTTACCGGTAAATCCTAGATTTTACTTATTGTGATCGGTATACATATATCCAAAATTCGGACATTTACAAGTCGTTTTCGGTAAAACTTAGGATATATATTATTGCATGATCAAACAACCCCAAATGATTTTAGAAGTTCGGACTTTGGGCGTATGTAATTTGCACCAAAAACAACCCCCCCAAATAAATATATATGTAATTTGCGCCACATATAAAAATTAATTTTGGTAATTTGCGCCACTTTTTAAAGTTGTAATTTGCACCACACAAAACTAAATAAAAGAGCATTAAGTAATCTGCGCCATCGTTACATACAAAAAATGTAATTTGCGCCACTTTAAAATTACTAAATCATTTTTTTTTAAACAGATTAAAATATTGTATCCTTAGCCATTCTATTGGTCAATCAATTTCACTTTAATAGAAAATTGCTTATAGCCTTTTGCAATTCTTCCATTGTTTTTAGTAATGGTGGCACCATTTTTTTACGGGTGTTATACATATTTCGTCGAACCAATGGTATATCATCGGTAGTAATGGTTTGTAAATTAAATAAATTTTCAAAAATTTCTGTTTGTAATATCTTACTTGGTTTAGTATACAGATTTTGCATAACTTTTCTCTTACATCCATTTGAATATATTTTTCTGTATATACTTGGTTGATCATGTCCATTATTTTCATTTACAATTTTAACTATTTGTATAATATTTTCTGAAGATGTGTACACTTTTGCAATGCAAGTTCTGACAGTACAAAGCCATCGCATTGTACAATTTTTAGATTCATGAACTTTTCGATATGTAACATTTTTAAATAATAATAACTCTTTGTCTCTAGTACTTTTAATAATTTTACCGATATTTGTATCCATTACTTATACTTTTATATAATTTTGAAATGTGAAATATGAAATATAAACGCATACGCGATTAATATCGGACTAAATTTTAAATATCAATATACTGCTGTTCAATATTATTCGATATTATGACAATTGATAATTTGTATTATATTAGACGTACCTATTCGATTTCGCCTGTACTTATTATTATTATTAGTAGAATACAATAATAATATATCAGGCACGCATTGGTATTATCGAATTTCCGATGTATTATCAGTATAAATGTATCTGCTGGTAAATTTCATCAATTAAAATTGAAAGTGTGGCGCAGTTCCATTTCGTTTACTGTTATGGCTCAAAATACATATTTAATTTTTATATTTTTGCGCAAATTACTTACTCGCTTAAATGTACCTATTGGTGGCACAAATTACAAGTAATAAAATTGGCGCAAAATACTATCCCCCCCCGGACTTTTACCAACGAGTTTTGGTAAATCTTAGGATTAACAATCAATGACTATAAAAGTCCGAAATTATATTTTTTTTCCAATTCTGTGATAATTCTTACTTGTATTTATTCTTGTGAGTTTGTATTGATATCAGTAATTTTAATTTAATTTTTGACTATGATACGAATTATAATAAAAGTTTTAATCATTGTGCCTTCAATGGTTAAGATTTGGAACAGATTTAATAGAAGATTAATTTAATAAATTGATATCGGGGCCAATTTTAATTTACGAGCAGAATTTGTTTTATAATTGTCGTGGTTAGTATTACGAGTATACACAGTATTCAATACGTCGCTTACAATACGATTTTATGAAATTTTAAATGGTGTTGTGGAGTTATAAAATAATAAAAATAATTTCTATTTAACCGAGGAAAAATATAATATATCTTTAAGAGATATTATAGTAGATAAATCTGTTAATGTGAAAAAAACTGTTCACTATCAGCGACTTAAAGGGTTTGATATTGTTAATATTACTGGTGAAAAAAAATTGATTGTTCTGATGAATGATGACTTCGAATTAATGCATTATTATGTTCGGTATAATGAGTTATATTATGCTCATATTACAACAGGCTATGTAGGTAGAAAGTGTATTATGTATGAAGTTAATACCATATACAAAAATTTTAACATTGAGTCAATTAATATAAGTAAGAATTATCACAGAATTGGAAAAAATATATAATTTCGGATTTTTACAATCATTGATTGTTAATCGTAAGATTTACCAAAACTCGTTGGTAAAAGCCCGAACTGCTAAAATCATTCAGGGTTTGACCAAGTAATAATGTATATCCTATTTTATCGGTAAATCCTAGGTTTCACCGGTATTCGTACTATTACCGTAACATAAATATATATATATATATATATTAGGGTGTTCCTTAAATTTTTTTTTTTGCATTTTTG